AGGGAAGAGAGGGGACGCATGTAATTATCCAAGCGTTGTTTGTACATCTGAATGGAAGTGGCCTCCACGAATGAATGCGGAAGGTTGTTCCACTGTTTTATGGCACGTTGCGTGGAGAATTCAGAGCGGAGGTTTAGCTTGGACATCTTCGTGCGCAGCTTCATTGTGTGCCCATGTAATTTTCACTTCCGGCAAGCCGTCAGGTGCAAAATCATTAGGACTTGTCCCAAAAAGATAGCGCTATACTATGTAAAGAGGGATGTGTGAACTATATTTCATCGCATAAGGCTGTAATGCAGACTATGTCCAAGGGAATTAGTTGACTTGTAACCCATCGTGCCAACACGACGAATAAGGTCGATTATTAATCCAGTGCAGGCGCTACATGAGTCCAGCTGACTGTATTAACTGTAAAGTGCCCTTTGTACGGTCAAAACAATTTAACAGTAAAAGGTTGGGAGCTGAAGAATACTGCCGTTGCAGGTAGTACAGTAGTCGCCGGCTATTAAGCCCACGGTTAATTAGCCCAGCCACCTATTAAGTCCAATTTGGTTTGGGCCCAAAGTTGGCTTAATAACCGGTGACTACTGTATTAAGCCCACGGTTAATAAGCCCAGCCGCCTATTAAGCCCAATTTGGTCTGGGCCCGAGGGGGCTTAATAGCCGGCGACTACTGTATAGTGATTGTCGCGGACACGTTAAAGAAATATGCCAGGTGCTGAAAGCGTATGCGATAGGTGTTTTCCTCGAACAACTTTATTGATTCATTTATTTAATGCTATTTTACAGGCGAAGGGGTGGAAATTGTTATCCAACGGGTGGACGCGTGTAACTGTCGGTTCCCTTTAAATTGAGAGCCACCGTGTGTCCACAAGATAAACAGTATGGCAGCCAGAGGATGTGACCATTAGCTGGTTGTGAAGTCCTGTCAGTGAATGACTACCAGAGAAATGTCCAAAGATCCTCAGATTAATGCAATCTTGATCTCAAATAAATTACCAGTTATTTTTGTCTGACATGATGTTCAAAGACTAACGGCCTCCACTTACTTGGGCATGCAAGGCGAAGAAAGCAATGAAGCGCATGTACCCTGTTCTTGAAGAACCCGAGACTTGTGGAAGAAGCCGCTTCTGTAAATTGCTGCGTAAATTAGGAGTATTTGCCTGTAAAACCATAAATGGTCCTCCCTCTGATTTTCACGATCAGCCGTCGTCCCATACCGGTGAGGCGAACGAAGACTAAGACGACATATTCTTCGTTTACCATATGTAATTCTATGTTAGAGTGGTCCTGATTTCCTACTTTGAAATGAATGATAGGGCAGTGTAATATCCAGCGGCAAGTAAGTACGAACATGTGGTATAGTCTCGGCAGCACGGGCATTTGTGAAGACAGTCAATTAAAATTAAATGCGATATCCTCAGACGTAGCCTCAAAGACCCAACCTGCAAAAGTGACGAACGGACTTCAAGACAACGGCAGTATTGCACAGTATGTCCGCCAAAAGAAAAAATCTCTGATTAGGACCCATATACATTTAAATAGGTAAATTGAAAGTAGTCGCATTTGTTTTTACAGGTCAACAGAAAAATGAGAACTACTAAAATGAATTTGAAACCGTCAAACTGAAAAACCCAGTCAAATATAAAAAGGAAGGACGCAGACACTTATACCCATATGTAGCTACTGCCATCCTACCAAAAGAGACACAAGAAAGCAGAAATGAACTCAAGAAGTCACTTTAAGTCCCTTGATTAAGGGAAGAAGGCTTTCGCCCTTGGGCTCCCTACTCATAACCAAAAATTGCAAGAGTTAAACATTAAA